CATACTGTAACTTGAGCCTCACTATCCTCGTAAAAACTCTTCACTGCTTTCAGTAACCTACCTCCTATACCATACACCTGCAACATCTGCCACATTGCCCCCCTATCCACCCTGTCATATACCTTTTCCAAATCCATAAATGCCACAAAGTCCTCTTTAGCCTTATCTAAATACTGTTCACTTATATGTTTCACTGTAAACACCTGGTCCACACACCCCCTACCTTTCCTAAAGCCCCCTTGTTCATCTGCTATCCTATTCTCCATCTTAATCTTAATTCTTTCAATAATAACTCTACCATACACTTTACCAGGTATACTCAACAGACTTATCCCCCTATAATTTTTGCACTCTCTTTTGTCCCCTTTGCCTTTATACAAAGGAACTATGCATGCTCTCTGCCAATCCCTAGGTACCTTACCCTCTTCTCTTTTTCTCCATATACTCTTCCCTCCTTGCATCACTTCTACTTTGTAAAAACTTCTGATATGCTAACTTTTTCTCCCTTACTACTCTCTTTACGTCATCATTCCACCAATCGCTCCTCTTCCCTCCCGCACCCACTTTCCTGTAACCACAAACTTCTGCTGAACACTCTAACATTACATTTTTAAACCTACCCCATACCTCTTCGACCCCATTGCCTATGCTCTCATTAGCCCATCTATCCTCCAATAGCTGTTTATGTCTTACCCTAACTGCTTCCTCTTTTAGTTTATAAACCTTCACCTCTCTCTTCTCTGATGCTTCTATTCTCCTTGTATCCCATCTACCTTTTACTCTCAGTGTAGCTACAACTAGAAAGTGATCTGATATATCTGTGGCCCCTCTATAAACATGTACATCCTGAAGTCTACTCAACAGTCTTTTATATACCAATACATAATCCAACAAACTACTGTCATTTTGCCCTACATCATATCTTGTATAATTATTTATCCTCTTTTTCTTAAAATATGTATTACCTATAACTAAACCCCTTTCTATACAAAGTTCAATCAAAGGGCTCCCATTATCATTTACACCTGGCACCCCAAACTTACCTACTACACCCTCTCTATAAGTTTCTCCTACTTTAGCATTCAGGTCCCCTACCACAATTACTCTCTCACTTGGTTCAAAGGCTCCTATACATTCACTTAACATCTCCAAAATCTCTCTCTCTCCTCTACATTCCTCTCTTCTCCAGGTGCATACAGCTTATTATGACCACTTTTCGCATCCAACCTTTACTTTAATCCACGTAATTCTTGAATTTACACATTCATATTCTCTTTTCTCCTTCCATAACTGATCCTTCAACATTACTGCTACTCCTTCCTTTGCTCTAACTCTCAGATACTCCAGATTTAATTCCATTTATTTCCCCCCACCGAAACTCCCCTACCCCCTTCAGCTTTGTTTCGCTTAGGGCCAGGACATCCAACTTCTTTTCATTCATAACATCAGCAATCATCTGTTTCTTGTCATCCGCACTACATCCACGCACATTCAAGCATCCCAGTTTTATAAAGTTTTTCTTCTTCTCTTTTTTAGTAAATGTCTACAGGAGAAGGGGTTACTAGCCCATTGCTCCCGGCATTTTAGTCGCCTCATACGACACGCATGGCTTACGGAGGAAAGATTCTTTTCCATTTCCCCATGGACAATAGAAGAAATAAAGAAGAACAAGAGTTATTTAGAAAAAGGAGAAAAACCTAGATGTATGTATATATATATGCATGTGGATGTCTGTGAAGTGTGACCAAAGTGTAAGTAGGAGTAGCAAGATATCCCTGTTATCTAGCGTGTTTATGAGACAGAAAAAGAAACCAGCAATATTATTTTTTTTTTTTATTATCACACTGGCCGATTCCCACCAAGGCAGGGTGGCCCGAAAAAGAAAAACTTTCACCATCATTCACTCCATCACTGTCTTGCCAGAAGGGTGCTTTACACTACAGTTTTTAAACTGCAACATTAACACCCCTCCTTCAGAGTGCAGGCACTGTACTTCCCATCTCCAGGACTCAAGTCCAGCCTGCCAGTTTCCCTGAACCCCTTCATAAATGTTACTTTGCTCACACTCCAACAGCACGTCAAGTATTAAAAACGAAACCAGCAATATATGTATAATAATAATACATATATAATAATAATAGCAGTATAATATGTATAATAATAATACATATATAATAATGTACTACATATAATAATTATAATAATAGACAGCTTCAAAAGGCCGTCACTAGAAGGCAGTGTTTACCACAACAAAGAGGGAGCCTCCGGTTGTGGCCGCCTCTACCTGTTACATAATGACATATTTTATTCATTCTAGAGTATATATCGTGTTTCTATGTTATTTATATTGTCTCTTATGTCGTATTAGATGAACTGTGATATATAAATAAGCCGTATAGATGATATTAGCGAAATTATTCATGAAGAATTTTGCCCGGTGCCCAGACAAACTCTCGTCCACCGCCGACACCGCCCATACCACTACATGAATGACATATTTTATTCATTCTAGAGTATATATCATGTTTCTATGTTATTCATATTGTTTGTTATGTCATACTAGATGAACTGTGATAGATAAATAAGCAATATAGATGATATTAGCAAAATTATTCATGAAGAATTTTGCCTGGTCTCCACACAAACTCTCGTCCACCGCCGACACCGCCCATACCACTGCATAAATGACATATTTTATTCATTTTAGAGTATATATCAGGTTTCTATGTTATTTATATTGTTTATTATGTCATATTAGATGAAGTGAGATAGATAAATAAGCCGTAGAGTTGATATGAGTGAAATTATTGAAGTACAGAATTCCACTGGAACGGATTAATTGCATTTCAATTAATTTAAATGAGGAAAATTGATTCTGCAAATGAGCAAATCCAGTTGCGAGCAAGGTTATGGAACGGATTAAACTCGCAAGTAGAGGTTCCACTGTATTTGTTGCTAAATACTATGTTTTATAAATAGTTCATAACCATTTATAACTAGTTTTAATATTTTTGACACTAAATTTATGACTGTGAATTCATTACTATTATTTATCTAACATCAATAAATAGGTAGATTAGCAGTATAACTTGCTTAGCAAATACAAATGTTGGGCCTGATCCCTGGACCCATTATGTAACATAACATCCTGGCTTGGGCCATCCCAGACTGACCTTTGATATATATCTGATGAATTTTGAGTTTTTTTTTTTCACTCCTGGTGCTTGCCTGGCCATCCAGGTTGTTGCTGCTGGTGGCCTACTTGCTCACTTATTGCTTACAGCCTGGTTGATCTGGCAACTGATGAAGATACTTGTCCAGTTTCCTCTTGAAGACTTCTACACTTGTCTCAGAAGTGTTTCTGATATCTTCTGGCAAAATGCTGAATAGTCTGGAATCATGGATGTTGATACCTTGTTCTCTTATTGTCCCCATGGTGCCCCTGCTTTTTACTGGGTTTATTTTGCATTCCTCCCATATCTCTCACTCCAGTATGTTATGTTAGTGTGCAGATTTGGGACAAAGCCCTCAAGTACTTTTCAGGTTTATAATGTTGTGTATCTCTCTTCTTTGCTCTAGTGAGTATATAATTAGGACTTGAAGACTTTCCCAGTAATTTAAATGCTTTATTGGTTCTGTGAAGGCTGTAAATGATCTCTGTATCTGTTCCAGCTCTGATATATTTCCTGCCTTGAATGAGGCTGCCATCACTGAAAAATATTCCAAATGAGAGGGTACAAGCAATTTGAGAAGGGCCACCATTGCACTGTTTCCCTTGTTTTGAAAGTTCGAATTACCCACCATCTTCCTGGCTGTCGTGAAATTTATGCTATTGTGTTCTTTGAAAGAAAGGTTAGCTGACATTTATTCCCAGGTCTTTCACATGTTCCTTATGTTCTGTTTGATGATCATCTTGAGTTTGCATATAGTGTCCCTTTTGAGTTCTTCATTCATTCCTTACCTAAGCAGCTGGAACTTATCAGTATTGAACTTTGTGTTCTCCATTGCGCATTGGAAAAACCATGCTTATATCTTCCTTCAATTTTTCATTGTCTTCTACCAGGATGACTTTCATGCTTATTTTAGTGCCATCTACAAATGATACGAAACTATGATGGCTGTTTTTGTTTATGCTGTGAGTATAAGAAACAACAAAGGTGCCAGGACAGTGCCTGGGGTACTAAGCTTTTTACCTCACTGATGTTGGATTTTGCTCTTTTTATTGCATTAGAAACTTGAAAATGCATCTGCTTACCTTCCCTGTTATGCCTATGGCCCTCATTTTGTGTTTAACCACCCCATGATTGCATTTATCAAATGCCTTTGCAATCAATGTTGACACTGTAAGAGATCCATGAGTCCCTGCATAGTCTTGGTAAACGGACTTGTTTACTGATAAGGACCATGACTTATCTTGAAGCATTGCTGTCAAGCTTGCTCTGGACCATGCAGTTGGACCTTATTGTCTGCTGTATAGAGAACTGCAGGGTAAAAGAAACCAGCGGAGTATGACTGAGTACCTGAGCACTCAACTGTGACAATCATCTGACAAAGTTGCATAAGCATCACAAGTTCCTCAAATTTTGTACTGCATTTTGGACCAACCTATAGAAAGGTTAAATAAAAGATTTAGGAGTTAAATTACTATAACCCTTTATAATTAATCCTTAATTAATAATAGCTTTTTGAGTTAAGGTGCCAGGCCAGGCCTTGGTTTTTTTTAAACTAAAAAACCTGCCCCTGCCGGGTCAGTGCTATCCCCAGCAATCCTAATTATGTTCCTCTGCAATCCTTTGACTAATGCCTGCAGGAGGGGCATATAGTTCATAATAAAGATTTTAAAATAATTCATAGGAATCTCTATTTTTACTTATAATAATCCTTATCATCTGTCTCCATCAACTCTAAAAATCAGAATCAGTTTAGTACTCAAAAGAAAATACTAATATTTTTTTCTGCAATGCCTGTACCTGATTTTTTAATTTCGATGTATTTCCTAGGATGGCATGTCATCGGTAGTGAAGCGACTCCGTGGAGGTCAGGGGTCACTGTCATCCTCACCTCACACGCCTCTGGATCTTCTTTCTTCTCTACCATCCCACTCTAACTCAACCATAGGGTGAGTTAGCCTGCAATTCTTTTGAACGATGTTTGTAAAGGGCTATATCAACCCTCTACATACATACATTCATATTATGTGAGCAACAGGAACCATTGGTACAATTTGGTAAAGAAATGTGGCTGATTTTTACAAATATTGACAGCAGATGATGGGAGTGTTGGTAAGTGATGGTCATTGTAGCTGGTACTGCCCACCACATGTTTGTACAGGTAGTGTATGTGGCCACAACAACCCTTTCAGCACTTTCAGTTCTACAAGCAGTGACTGTTACAGTGTAAGGTATCAGTATTATTATTTTGAATGAAATAAATTAAAAAATGTATTTGTTTTTTTGGTGTGTCAAGAATCAGCCTTATTTTTCCCATATGTTTTTCAGTTAACACGATTTTACACATTATGCTGATTTCTGGAATGTAACCTATGTGATGTGAGTCTGCTGTATACTAGTTTCCCAGTACAGCACTTCAGGTGGTGATTATTGTGGTGCATTTATGTGTCAGAGATCCGATTGTCAACCGCACGTTACACTTTCAAACATATTAATATCTATAGAGATATGGAATGGAGAAAGAGATTAACAGAAGAGGAAAAGGTAAGCATTAAAAGTGGTTGAGCACATGGAGAGAATGCCCACTGAAATATTTGTTGGCAAGCAAGTAAACATAAGTACTATTAACCCTTTGAGGGTCGACAGGCCCTCTCCGAGACTTGTTCTCAGGGTCTGCCAAATTTAAAAAAAAAAAAAAAAAAATCTTATGAAAAGATAGAGAATCTTTTCCCGATCATAATGACACCAAAAATATGAAATTTGATGGAAAACTTACGGAATTATGCTCTCGCGAAGTTAGCTGTCTCGGCGGTGTTTACGGATCGGCGATTTTGCCCACTTTGAGCCCCATTTTCGGCCAGTTCCACTGTACTAGTCGACAAAAAACATGAATATTTCGCTAGAACTCCATTTTTTCTATTGAATGAGTGCAAGAAACCACCCATTTACCAATTTCAACTATCCAGCACAGTGGCCAGAATTTAGCAATTTTGCCAATTTCACACAAATTTCAAAAGATGCCAATTTCCGAATAGGGTCCAGAACAAACAAGAAATACATTCCTGGCACTAAAATGACATTTCCTCTGTTTATTAGTCAAGTCTCAAGGCCCCTCTTACATTCTTTTGCTTTCCACTTTGAATTTTTATTCTCACAAAAAATAGAAGATTTACTGTTATGCAGACTACTGCATTAGTGTAAAAAATGGTATGAATCATATTGGCGCACTTGCAAAAGAATATTAGACTCACCAATTGACGTGTATTGGACGCTTGGCATGATTTGTTTACTTTTGAACTTTGGTAAAAATCGAACATTTCTGCTACTTTGAGCTCAATTTCAAGGTACTTTTCATTGTAAAACCAGTCAAAATAATCTCAATTTCTATGATATGCCTTCCATTCTATAAAATGAGACCAAGAAAACTAGAATACAACAATAAATGCGATACGAAAATACAGTGCAAAGTCGCTGTTTTATTCCAAAAAAACGGTCAAAGTTTTTTTTCTCTCATTATGCACAGATTTAGACAAACTCAGTTCGTGGTCAGAAAAGTGGCAGATGCAGTTCGATGTAGATAAATGTAAAGTTCTAAAGCTCGGAAATGTTGATAACCTACCAGCTTAATAATGTTGAACTTAGCCACACAGAATGAGAAAAGGATTTGGGGGTTATGGTAAGCAACAACCTTAAACCAAGACAGCAGTGCCTAAGTGTACATAATAAGGCAAATAGATTACTGGGATTTATATCAAGAGTGTAAGCAACAGAAGTCCAGCGGTTATACTACAGCTTTATACATCATTAGTAAGGCCTCACCTAGATTACGCAGCTTAGTTCTGGTCTCCATTTTACAGAATGGACATAAATTCGTTAGAAAACATTCAGCAAAGAATGACAAAGTTAATACATAGCATTAGAAACCTTCCTTATGAAGAAAGATTGTAGACCCTTAAATTGCATTCACTTGTAAGACGAAGAATGAGGGAAGACATGATCGAAGTGTACAAGTGGAAGATGGCTATTAACAAAGGGGATATAAATAAGATCTTGAGGATCTCTGTCCAAGAGAGAACCCACAGTAATGGATTCAGTTTAGATCAGTTTAGATTTCGAAAGGATATAGGAAAGAAGTGTTGATATGTTGCAGTTTTTAACTGTAGTATAGGTGTGCCTTTGGCAAGACAGTGATGGAGTGATTGATGATGAAAGTGTTTCTTTTTTTTTCAGGTCACCCTGCCTTGGTAGGAAGCGGCCGATTTGTTAATAAAAAACATATATAATTTCTGATGTATTTCTTAAATGTTATGTAATGTAGGTATTGCTTTTTTTTTAACAAGAATTCAAAATAATTGTTTCATCTACCATTTTAATTAAGAGAAATTAATGTTTTTCTTTGAATAAAATGTTGTTTGTACATTCCTCAGATTTCCCCTACCAGCAGGCAATGATGTTCATTACTTGTAATGAAGAAACTAATATTAATTCAGAAAATAGAAATCCAGTAATGATATGTATCTGCTTACAGGGGTCAAGAGACGACAATCTTGGATCATCCCTGTGAGAGTCGCACCTGTCGTGAGCTCATTTTAGAGAAGTACGATGATATTTGTACTCAGGTAAGACTATAACTAAGTTGGAGATCTGTTCTATTATGCATCATTTATAAATTAACATTCATGTGTTGCATTTTTACTTATAAATTTTTTTGATTAGGTCCTGAATCAGAGGAGTAGTCGAAGCATCGTCATTCAGAGTGCCCTCCTTCAGATCCTGCCTAGGTTGGCTGCACTTAATAAAGAAAAATTCTCTCGGAGGTGAGTTTTTTCTTTGAAATATTTGCTCTTCAGTGAAATATTTGGTAAATTCTTATGGTATGGGAAAACACTCGGTTTTATAGAAATAGCAAGAAATGTACAAGCTAGTATGCTAAGTAAAGCTGTCAAGCTCAGGCTTTTATGTTCATTGGCCCTTTATGATTGCTCTTCACATACAGTATATTAAATATCTTTGATTTCATTTAGGGTTTGTTTTTATTTTCATAAACATCAAGGAAAATTAAGTTTAGGACTAACTGCTTAAGGACTGTTGCTTGTAATTATTTGCTGAAAATAGGTTAGAGAGGTTAATTATAGTGTCATTTTAGTTGGAGTGTGGTTGAGCTAAGTGGTGGAACAAGATATCTATATTAAAAGAAGACCTTTTATTATTAAGATATTTCACCTTTAAGAAACCTTTATCAGGTACAGGAAATATGTAAAACATTGATGTATGTGTAATGCTGAAAAGTAAACTGTTAGGTGCAGCTGAGGTGGCATCAGGTGTAAGAGGGGTCAGGTGAAGGTGAAGTCAAGCACAGGCAAGGCATACAGCACCTGAGGTCAGGCGATGTTAGGAGAGGTCTGGACTTGGGGATCAGGTCCTGGTATTCTGTGCCTGTGGTGATACAAAATTGTTTGTGTGATTGGTTTTGGCTATAGAAACATCCCTGTTTTGTGTGATGGTATTAGTAACATTAATGGTTGCAGATTCTAGATAGAGTGTCTTATTCTTCTGGTATAGTAAGTATGCTTGTCCAGTTCATGAGACGTTAGTGTGTTGTGCAGTATGCATGCATTCCAGGTGTCCTCGGCTCTGCAAGTGTGTGTGTGTGTGTTCCTGTGAACATGTGTCCAAATCTGTGGCTGTTTCACCAATATTTAATCTGTAACACAAATAACCCTCACATAGAAGAGAGGAGCTTACGACGACGTTTTGGTCCGACTTGGACCATTTACAAAGTCACACTAACGAGAAGTAGAGCAGGAAGGGTATATATAGGCAGGAAGTGGTAGTGGTAGTAGTAGTAGTAGTGGAGGTGGAAGGCAGTAGTAGTTTTGGAAGTAAGGAGGAGGAGGAGCCAGTCAAATACTAAGAAAGGGGAGCAGTGCAAGGGAGCTAGGTGCCCACAGAGGGTAAGAGCAAGAACACAGAGGGTAGGGGAAGGAAATAATGAAGGAACAAAAATACAAGGCAGAAGAAAGACAGCCCAGAGGAGAAAAAGGAAAGAGGAAAGGGGAAGAGGGAGAAGAAGAAAAAGGAGGAATCAGGTTAGGTCACGGGTGTTCTGAAGTTTGGAGCATTTTACAATGTAGTGGGAAAGGAAGGCATCTACAGAGACAAAGCCAGGACTAAGATTCATACAAGGAAAGTTGTGTATTAGGGAGGATTCAACCAGACGGCAGCTGTTAAAGTTGGAAGCCTTCCCTACTTCCAACTTTAACAGTCGCCATCTGGTCGAATCCTCCCTAATACACAACTTTCCTTGTATGAATCTTAGTCCTGGCTTCATATCTGTAGATGCCTTACTTTCCCACTATATTGTAAAATGCTCCAAACTTCAGAACACCCATGACCTAACCTGTTTCCTCCTTTTTCTTCTTCTCCCTCTTTCCCTTTCCTCTTTCCTTTTTCTCCTCTGGGTTGTCTTTCTTCTGCTTTGTGTTTTTGTTCCTTCATTATTTATTTTTTATTATCCCCCCCCCCCATGCTCTTGCTCTTACCCTCTGTGGGTGCGTAGCTCCCTTGTAGTGCTCCCCTTTCTTAGTATTTGACTGGCTTCTCCTTCTCCCACTACTACTACTACTGCTACTGCTGCTGCCGCTGCCGCTGACTACTACTGCTACTACTACTACTAACTGCTCTATTTCTCGTTAGTGTGACTTTGTAAATGGTCCAAGTTGGACCAAAACGTCGTCGTAAGCTCCTCTCTTCTATGTGCGGGTTATTTGTGTATCGTTCCAGTCACGGTATTGTGCCCTTTTTTGTTATTTAATCTGCAAAATTGTACTCCTTGGAATGTAGGCAAGGAAGGTACATCATAATTTGCACCTGGAAAATTCTGAAGGGATTGGTTCCGAACCTGCCCACAGAAATCACTATGTATGAAAGGAAAAGACTTGGCAGATCGTGCAAAGTACCTCCTATGAAAAGCAGGAAAGCAGTGAGTACACTAAGAGAAACCTCATGAAGTGTAAGGGGGACCTAGACTTATTGTACCCTTCCCTTGTGCATAAGAGGATTATTATTATTATAATCAAGGGGGAAGCGCTAAACCCGGAGGATTATACAGCGCCTGGGGGGGGATGTGGAAGGCATTCAGGCTTAATTTAGGGAACTGGAGCACAGATTCAATTCCCTAAATCAAGAGCCCCTCACCAACATCAAGGAACCTTCCTTGAGAGGTGTGCATAAGAGGAACTACCAACTTCTGGTTGTCTTCAGCTAAGCTGTTATGCATATGTTGGCTTGCACGTGACTGGCACTAACAGCCTGGTCTGGGACCAGGCTGGAGGGGAGTTGACCCTAAAAACTAACTCAAGGTAAACTTCAGGTAGGATCACTTCTTGTCTTATGATGCTGTAAACACTCATTGTGATTATATGTCTGATGGGGTGGCTGCTTTGATGAATTCCTTTATAGTTTTCATGGGGAAGACTGTGATGTTTGTGTTGGTTGTCTAGAGCAGAGGGGTAATTGTAGTTGCTGTCTGTCCAGTAGGTAGAATCAGTTAGCAATCAGTGGTGGTGGTCTTTCTTGACTTGTCAAAGCTGCTAATAGAGGATGACATGTTTGGGAACCTTAGAGAGTTTATTGGCTCTTTCCTGAATGTTACTTGCTTTTGCTCATTTCTTTGGATAGGTGTATGAATTTTAACAAGATACCAAGGAGATGATTATACCATAAATCAGGAATATCTTACAGATAAGATTTGTTGGGAAATCCTCTCATCACAATCAAGCATTTGTTCTTGCCACTATTTTTATTTATGTTATACAGTGTGTTCCACCTTTATACAGTACATATTGTAGATTGTTTTAATCATTGAACCCTTGTTACAAGACAGTATTCTCTGTAGAAAGGAATTCAAGTGCATGACAAGGTAGACAATGAGAAGCTGTTTAAATGGTAGATAGTATCAACACAAAATGAACTTAAGTACAAAAGAATGGAGGTCAGAATGAAAAGGAAGTGGTTAGAGGAAGTGAATACACATTTGTTTTACAGATGTTTTTTTATTATTATTTTATTATCACACTGGCCGATTCCCACCAAGGCAGGGTGGCCCGAAAAAGAAAAACTTTCACCATCATTCACTCCATCACTGTCTTGCCAGAAGGGTGCTTTACACTACAGTTTTTAAACTGCAACATTACAGATGTGTATTAGTAAATAGATTTTTGAAGGATTAGGTAAGCCATAGAATAGAAGGAAAGTAGTATCGGCATGCCTCCGGCAAGACGGTGATGGAATGAGTGATGGTAAAAGGGTTCCTTCTTTTTCGGGTCACCCTACCTTGGTGGGAGACAGCCAGTGTGTTAAAAAAAAAATTTATGTAGAGTATATATCGAGATGTTAGTGTGAATATGATACTATATATAAAGAAGCTTTGGGAAACTTATAAGATTTACTAAAGTTGCAAAAGTTGGGAAGCACACTGCACACATTCTTTTGCTGGGGTCGGGAGAAAAGTTGCAGCTCACTTGATCAACATGGGACTGCTACCTCTGTTCTAAAGAGGCACTTAGACTGTGATAGTTTTTCTTCTTCAGCGGGTCACCCTGCCTTGGTATGAAACATCTAATGAATTAATTTTATTATGTACTGTACTATACATATATTTTTATACATTTATGCATGATAAATGTATTTTGTAAATTTTGTCTTGTGTGGACCAGTATACCATATATGCAGTCTTCTATAAAATCTTTGATTATTTAAGTAAGTTTTCTTGTGTTTTTAGATCTGATTAACACTTGTTGAAAATTATATATGTTATTTTTTGTTTATTAGGTTATATGTTTCAGATAATGTGAGAAAAATGGCAGTTCACTGTGTATTATTTATTATATTTGATAGCTAAAATTCCAGTGTTTCAGAGTATGTACAGTAGACCGTTGGTTAACACATGATCTTTTAAAACTTTTGTGTTAACAGACCATGTCAATGAGTTTTGATAGCAGGGTACGTATTGGGTGAACTGTGACATGCATTGGGTTCTTCTCCCTCTCACAGTTAGCCTATGGAAGAGTCAATTGTTTTATGCAGAAGACTTATGTATGTATACACATATGACCTGCACACAGGAAAGAGGAGCTTACGCCAAAGTTTTGGTCCAGCTCCGACCATTTACAAAGTCACTCTAGCAGAAAATAGTGAGGAAGCCAGTGTATATATAGGCGAGCGGGAAAAAGGATGGGAGCAAGAGAGGGAGAAGAGGAAGTATTGGTAATTGAAGGTAGGTAGTGGAAGTAATTGTAGAAGAAATAGTGATAGTAGAAAGTAGGGAGAGTAGTTTAGTGGCAAAAGAGAGAAAAAGAGGGGAGTGAAGGATGAAGGGAGGAAAAAGTAAAGGTGAAAGCAATAGTAGAGGAAATGGGGGGGGGGGAGACTAAGTAGAAGTAGAAGTTGGGTAAGTCTAAGGACAAGAAAAAGGAGCACTGCAGGAGAGCTAAGAGCCCAAAACCAAATCCAGGACCAAAACACAGGGAGGGGGGGAATTGACAAACAGAACACAGTATGCAAAGAAAGGAAATAAGAAAAAAAGGAAAAAAATAGGAAAGGAGGAGAAGAAAGGATCAGGTCAAGTCAGCACAATCATCGACATCAGTGTAAAAACCTCAGTCTCCAGCTGTTATCGATCTACAACCTCCCACATGAGCCCAATAGGGCTACACCATCCTTTTCCACTCTTAAAATTATAAGCATACATCAACGACTAGAATTTGTGCTAAGAAATATTAAGTAACCTTTGTAGCTGTAAGTATCGTATTAACTATAACATCGACTTAGTTACATTATTATTGTGTTTTTACAATTTCAAGACCTAAAAAAAAATTGGGCTGGCTCTTTTGGAGGTCTATGGAATGTAACTTTATTTTTACCCCATGTTCTTCAGTTCATTTTACAAGACTTTTTTATCACACATTGTTTCTGGGAACGTAATTACCATGTTAACCGACGGTCAACTGTAATTATACTTACATTTTTCATGTCTTCTGCTGCATTCTTTCTTATTGATATATAATGTATATTGGAGCTACATTATTGTAAATGTTTTGCATTTTTATCCACTCCAGTTATGCCTCTGTGTGTGTGTGTGTGTGTGTGTGTGTGTGTGTGTGTGTACGCACGTGCACACGTGCGCGCGTGTGCGTGCATGTGTGTACTCACCTATTGTGGTTGCAGGGGTTGAGACTTAGCTCCTGGCCCTGCCTCTTCACTGATCACTACTAGGCCCTTTCTCTCCCTGCTCCACGAGCTTTATCATACCTTGTCTTAACACTATGTATGGTTCCTGCCTCTACATCACATGCGAGACTATTCCACTTCCAGACAACTCTATGACTAAGAAATACTTAAGATCTCTTTGACTCATCTGAGTCTTCACCTTCCAATTGTGACCCCTTGTTTCTGTGTCCCATCTCTGGAACATCCTGTCTCTGTCCATCTTGTTAATTCCTCGCAGTATTTTGTATGTTGTTATCATGTCTCCCCTAACTCTCCTGTCTTCCAGTGTCGTCATTCCGATTTCCCTTAACCTTTCTTCATAGGGCATTCACCTTAGCTCTGGAACTAGCCTTGTTGCAAACCTTTGCACTTTCCCTAATTTCTTGACGTGCTTGACCAGGTGTGGGTTCTAAACTGTACTCGCCTATTTGTACTCGCCTATTTGTGGTTGCAGGGGTCGAGTCTTAGCTCCTGGCCCCCACCTCTTCACTGGTTGCTACTGGGACCTCTCTTTCCCTGCTCCCTGCTGTGCATGTATGTGTGTGCGTATGTATGCGTATTCACCTATTTGTGGTTGCGTGTGTGTGTTTGTATGTGTGTGTGAATGTGCGTGCACGTGTGCGTGCATGTGTGCGTGCATGTTTGTGTGTGTTTTTTGTATTTTTGTGTGTTTTTTGTGTTTTTGTGTGT